TAAACTGGAGAAGCTATTTTGCACATAACAATTTTTAATCATTTTTTTTAAACTAAAACAATAACACAAGCAACATCACGTTGGGGTTGAAAGTCACATATTTAAGAGAAGAACTGCACTGCAAACCCAGGATGTCAAGTCTGCAAGATGTGGGAGGGGTAGTAGTAAATGCCAGCAGTAAAGGGAAGGGCTTTTGATCCATACTAAGGAGTATTTGTATAGTTATCCTCACTTATCGCTCTTTCTCCCAACCTGTTGTGCTTTGTGGAAGCACAAATATACTACAGTACCTCTTTAAACTTAGGCTGAAATAATGTTTGGACAGATAATTTGTTATTTTCCTTATCTACGTGTGGATTTGAAATAATAAAAAAAGTCTGAAATAAAGTGAGAAACAAAAAACTCATTTGAGGATGCGAATCAGGCTAATCTCAATAAGACTGATTGTGCCAATTTTTAAGATAAAGTCCGCTGAAAATAAAATGGCTGCTTTTGTCTATCTTTTGTTTTTTAAATACACTACTTCGCCAGAGGCACAATGTACAGTGAGGTGCTGCGGCAGCAAGAAGCAGCAGTTTTTCGTGGGAAACTACATACATATTAATGCATATTAATAATAGGAATATTGCGCGTCTGTCTTCCTGTCCATCTTCACTCACTGATTGAAAAATCTTATTCAAATGCCTATAGCTAAAGCAGGGGGAACTATTCTTTTCTGGCCTGTATAAAATAATCTGAACACAGTATGCCCTCTGTCCTCAGAAATGAGTTGAACTGCTAATGTCCATAACCATAACTAAGCAGTATTATGGCGAGTATCCAGCCTGAGATTGAGAGATTGTGAAATTAATCCTTGGCTGGATCATGTCAAGCTGGCATTCCTAATCACTGAAGTGTAATAAATAGAGAAGTACCCTAGAGAGAGAGATCAGGTATAAGGCATTGCTGCCTTGGCTCCACTTCATCCTGTCAGCATTACTGAGATTCCCATAAATGCAGCGACAAACACTCTCTCGGGCTTTATGACTTCAGTACTCTTGCCATGCTAGTGCATGCACTTAGTCTCTTTAAAGTGATTTGTGTATAGAGAGGAACAGAACAAGTAATGTGAAGCAACAAAAAAACCAAAAAACCCAAAAAAATACGTAAGTAAAAATACAAAAATGTAAAAATCACCAGCATTCAAACGTGCAATCAAGTCACTCCTGTTATTAGGAAACTATTCTTAAACATAAGCACTCATTATGTTGGTCCTGTTGGAAGCAAACTGTTATTATACTAATATTATTTGATATTATTAATAGGTATATGATACGGGAAACAGTATTTTAGTCTCATGATTTGAGGCGGAGGCAAGTTTGAAATAAAAAACTGTTAAATCTATAGCAATTTAGGTCACAGAAGACAAAAAATATAAAAACATAAAGATGTCACAAATTTACTCAGCAAAGTAACTACTACCTGTAGCACTTTATATATTAATAATGTCACACTCTGATGCCAATCATAGTCTTAATAATATATCTGTATTTATAAATAGCACACTAAGGAGGAGTAATGCTATATAAATGATGAATTAAGCACTTACTAATACCTTAATAATGCTTAATAGTGTGACATTATTATAACGTGCTACCAAAAGTATTTATAATAATTTAACTTTGAATATAATTGATTATAAAGTAGCAAATGCTCAAAAATAAAGCACCAATACCCTCAGATTATAGTTACTATTGGTTCTCATTAGAACACTCATAAAGCTTTGAAATATACATACAAATATACAACTCATAAGCAGATTTTAGAACCTAGTTTTTGTAGTTTTGTTGTACCTGCAGAGAAACCATCTCTTTCTGGCCTCTTAACACTCAGGTATTTGGCTGAAACCAGGGGAACCAGAGCGTACAGTGTGCCACACTGTGGCCTCTGTAATGAGGCCTGACTCCTAATGACTCACAGCCCCCAGCAAGAGATAGAGGTGGCCAGCAGTGGGGCTTATCTCATTGGCACTCTGTGCTGCGTGGTTACTGCTGTAACCTTTAGATCACTTCAGATTAGGCTGCTGCGGGAATCCTTCAGTAGTTATTACAAAACAGATTGAGGGGCTGGAAGAATTCTCATAAAAGTTGTATACGAGCCCTCCGCTTGAAGTTGTGATAATAGGCTGATTGTGCAAAGACATGTTACAGGCTGAAGCTCGTGACTGATCGGCGTTCTCTAACGCTGCCTCAGATAAGGCTGCGATGCCATTGTTTTTGTTGACTGCTTTTGATTATGTAAATTCACACAAGCTAGCGGAAACAGAGCATTGTGATAAATTTAGCACTAAGAAGGTCCTGAAAGCGGCAGGGGGTCCACAGAGTGGAGGTGAGCTAACTTGTGCTAGTCAGTCATGCCTGCTGAGCATCATTCATGGAAGAGTGCAGGAGTTGGTCAGCCAGGGGACAGGGTGGTTAATTGCACTGCACTTTAATAAGTCACACACTGAAGACACATGGCTTTAATCACGCAGACGTCCCCGCTGATAGGCAGTGCAAGGGACAAAGGTGGCTCCGTCTCATCGGACTTAATGTTTCTGCAGGCAGGTGTCCGATGTAAACTGCGGGTGTTCCTGTCAAGATTCAGAAGTCCATATAATCACGTACACACACCTTCACTATACTCTGCCGCTTGTTCTTTGCACTCGTCTAACCTCGGTACCTAAATGATGTTGCTATTTCAGCTGTTTTTTCACTGGGAGCAGCACAGCGGTGGGAAGGTTTCATTGTCACAGTAATCAAAGTGGTGACGAGCAGAAGTGAAATACATTTAGGTTGAGTGAGGTCTCTGGAGAGCATTTTGTTGGTGTAAACACTTTTCTCGTCAAAAAAGAGGGAATCTATTTTCAGGGATTTGAGCAGATACAGTGCGAAGTCATACAGGAGAGCCCCGAGTGATAACCGTCATATTCATCCAGCTTGTCTTTTATTCAGTGCTCTCTGTACGGAGAATCAGCAATGAAGAGAAGTTATTCAACATTAATTAAAGGGCGTGTTGCTTGCCCCCAACAATGCATTCTAATGTTAAAATCCATGTTAAGGGAAATAGCAAACATGTGATTAGGCATTGCAAAATGTTAACTAGGTCTTTGTCCTTGACATTCACATTTTTAATGTCACTAAGCTGTTCCTGACGCATGCTGGGCTGCACACATATATCTCACTGGAGGTAGATTTTGTCCAAATCTAACAGGATTTGCTAGGATTTGGAATTAAATCTCCACGTAGGGTTTGATTTCCAATCAAAATTGGCCACTGCATTTTGTTCTGCCTTTGATGGTTTAAAAAAAAAAAACGATCTCACTTCAGTCATTTATTTATTTTTTTTGCTGCAAAATGAGACTGTTATTTTAAATGTTGCCATAAGAGACAGTCAGCCTGATATCAGTCTGACAGCAACCAAATGGGATCAAGTTGGCTATTACATCCAATCTGTTTTTGATAATACAGCATGTAATTGTGATAAATCATTGAAAATCACACATCTGTTGTTTACATAGATGGAAACTCACAATTAACAGATATGTACATTTAACTGTTACATTTGTGCACAGCAGCCTTCCTGTCCTATAGAAATATAACCGGACTACAACCAGTCCCTACAGCCGAGTCCCCTCAAGTTGGCTCATTGACAAAGACTCATTCAAACTGATGGCAACATGTTGGCTATCTGTCACCTTTTTTAAATTAGAGATTAGTGATTATTTGCAAACCTTCAACAATGTCTCTGAGTGTGACTGCAGTCATCCCAAGTGAGACTGTGACTGTTTGGAGAAAGTTTGCCTCCTCTTAGCCGACCTTGTGATCAATAGTGTGCAACACCATCAACAGTTTGGTGAAAAAATTCAAAACAATCACAAAGTAGCCACGGAGTTTTCTTTTTTGTTCCTTTTATTGTAGATGCAAGATTTCCATCCTATTTTTTACTTGCGTGACTGACCCATTAGCTTGCTCTGAATATAGGCATAGCTTTGTCAAGCTAAGTGCACCCAGCTAATTTAATGAAAGCTTACTCAAGCCGGCTTGTTCTTAACATTCCCACAGTATTTTAATTTATTTAATAAAATATCAATATTTGGTGTCTCTGTATCAACATAATATCCATAGACAAAATATTGCAATACTATGCTGTATTGATTATTTTTCCCCACAAACCTAATAATTACGGTGATAATTTTAACCCAATCAAATCAAGCATTCTCTTGATGCTTGTTGTAATAACAGTGGGAGTGCATTGTTTTGTATTTGTTGACCGGCTGTATAATTGTGCTGCAGATTTAAAATTGCTTCAGACTAGCATAGTCTGACTTAATGTTCAGCAGACGTAATAAGTGGACCTACAGTAATTTTTTAGTCTTCCCTCTCATCGCCGGGCCTTGGAAACTATTTACATGAATAAGAAATGATGTTAAAGTATTTATTAAGCCTTTATTTTGTTGTGGCTGTGTTTGCATCTTAATTTAGAATTCATAGCAAATGAAGGACGAAAAAATCTCAAACCTACACTCTGACCTCCCAGCGAAAGCCATGTAATGAGAAAAATGATAAACACATGAATGTTCTCCAAATTATTGCAATAAACCTTGTGTAGGCTTTGTTAATGATCACAGTTAATGTGATCTTGTCACATTGTGGACAAACCACTCACAGAGTTTGAAACGTGAAGAGAGTTCATTGTATTAGCCCCTCTTGAGTTAATGCAGGCTTTTATTCCTGTGGGTAAGTTAGTGTGGATGTGGATACCAGGTAGGTGGAAATGAGAACCGTGTGCTCGAATGTGGAGGCTGCGCAGCGTAAACTGGCCTTTCAAGAGCAGCTTTTGTTGAACTATATGCCTGTTGAGACTCTTGATCCCATAAGAAATTTATGAGTTTGTGTGCGTGCGTCCATGTGAGAGCGAGCAAGGAAGCATGTGTCTTCTGTGTGTCATCATAAGCTCATTATTTTTCTTCTCTCCCACAGATCTGCGACCTGTCATCACCTCACCCAGCAAGTGTATGTGTGCGCACTGGCACTTCTGTGTTTTTTCTGCTTCCAGAGCCCCCTCAGCAGCCACCGAAAACACCCAGAGACCACAGGCTGCAAGATTAGGTGAGCTTTAGGCCACACGCCTCTGGCTATTAGATCTGTCACTGTCTCCTCATTTGAGGGCACTGTGGCACTTAATTTGCTTGCAGACCACACTCTAAAGCTTACTAATAGTCATTGATTTGTTTAATCTTGCCACATATTTAGGATAATCCCAATTTTATTACCTCTTAACCCCCTTTCAGACTAGTGATTGAGAACAATAAAAAAAAAATAAAAAAAATATTGAGCTTGTCCACAGTCATTCAGATTAAATGGCAGAGGAAGATGGTCTAATCAAAGAAACAGTAAAAGCTTTCTGGTTCATCAAGCAGTGTCCCTGTAGTAGCGTATAACCCGACTGTTTCAGAGCAGTGCTTGAATATGAGAGCAGCTGTAGCCCATAACACATGTGTATCTTGATTAATCATCCTGTTAAGGAAATGAACATGGCTTTAACCTCTGCCTGTTCAGATGAACTGCTGCTCAGAGGAAGTGGAGCTCTGATTGATTTTCTTTCACATGTGAGTGAACTACATGCATCTATCAATGCAGAAGATTAGCTGAACATGTGAATTTGTGCGTTATTGGATACAGTCACTCTGAAGTATTGAACACATCCCCATAACACGGCAAACCACATGCAGAGCACACGCAGCCCACACATGGATGTATCACTACATGTTGAGTTGTACAAAGACGCATCATGTTGAATTTATTACAATTCCTTATTTTTGCTCAAAATGCCACGCTGTAACATTTTCCATACTTCGTACTTGTGTATTTTATTACTACTGTGCAAAACTGAAATTTGCTGTGTTAGTCATGCACGTGTTATACCTGGACTTCTATACCTAATCTGTCATTGTCACTTTTGTTGATGATATGTGCTCTTCTTCTGCCTAATGAAAAATCCTGATTGGGTAAACAGCCTGTCTGTCTCTGTCACTGGGTGGTTTCATTTCTGTAGATATTAGAGCCATAGATAACTTAGCCCAATATTCTGCTTGAGCCACATTTAAATATTTTATTATGATCTTCTATTTGCACCAATTGTAATGGTTGATCTTGATTATGTAAATTTATTTTGTGATTTAGGATATTATACTCCATTAATTCGTCTGGCTGTTGTGAATCTGTTCTGTTGTAGTCTAGGCAGATGTAGTAGATTGGTGGGCCAGCATATGCATCTTAGAAGGTCATCAAGGACATGGAGCAATAGTTTTCTGACTGTCACAGTTTACCAACAAAGCTATGCAAAGCAGAGGGTCTGCAGATGGAAATTAGCCCAAGGCTATAATCTGTTATATTTACATTTGTTAAAATGTTCATTAATATGTATTGCCCCTCTTTCTAAAAAATAAATAAATAAAAAAAATATATAACCAGAATTCCATTTTCTTATGTGTGGAATAAAAAGTTTTTTTTTCTGTTTTTGTTTCTGAATGGCATGCAAGCTGCCTCCTAGAAAACACAAGTGAGACACTTTACGTCTATACAGAAGGTCCAAAGGTTGCTGCTACAGTAGGTGTCCATTGAACACACAGTGTTTTCAAGGTGAAAACTACTTAAATAAAATAGTTTGGTGTGTTTTTTATGGGAAATAAGCTAAGAAAATGCACCACTATATGGGGACTATAGCTAACGGCTGGTCAGCTTAGCTTAGCACAGTTGAGTCTTACTCTATGGCAGAGTTACCACTAAAGGGTTTGAAAAAATAATGATATTTAAAAATTTAGGTTTCGTGTCCTTTTAAGTACCTCAGAGGACAAAGTGCTATGGTGTATTTGAGAGTTAAATAGTCCACTTAAGTCGAACTTCAAGTCCCACAAAACAATAGTATCCCAGATATATTGTATATTTACTCAATAGCCATATCCATGGTAACCATCCATATGCAGTAGAGATTCACCAGTTGTACGTTTTTGATTGAAATTTCTGATTTATTTATTTTTTTACATGCTTATACTGACTTTTTGCCAATTGCAATTTTTTTTTCTAAGAATGACAAATGAGAGCATATACAAACAAAAAAAACGACTTTTCTTCAGTGTAAAATATTATTCACATAATAAAATAAATTATTAAACTTTACATTTTCCCCAAAAATACAGAAAGAAACAGAATCTTCTCTCCTTTAAACAATTTCCAAAACAATTCTCTGCTACTGAAAAAAGGTATAAATAATTAAGTCAACGTGAGTTGTTGTACACGAATATTCACCTGATATATTTTTACCTCAAACAAAAGCAGGTGCAACAAGTTTGTATAACAAAACAAATTGCACTTACATATTTTTCCAATTTGTTTAAATTCACCAGACACCAACCCTTTTTTCTTTTTTTTCATCCATCATTTTCCTCATAACTTCTTTGATCATTTTGCTAATACCGAGGCTGCTGACTTGCAGCTGCCTCTGAGCTCTTTCCCTTTGTTAGCTATGTCCATGTTAATCTGGGTGAGGGTGATTTAAGTGTCTGATTAGGTTGTTTGATATAAAAACTTTTTCACAGTTATCCCCCATGGTTTACTTTGGGGAACTTTGTGTTGCCACTCATGCATCTCTAATGTCTACCATTATAAAACAAGAGTCACAAAAAGTGAGGACACTTACAAATAGAAAGGTATGAACAGCTGTGATCGAGCTCAACATTAAACCTGGTGTCATTGTCCAAAAACCTACAGACCAACTGCACAGCCTATTGCTAACCTTTTGATTCCCAACCTCTAAATACTGTTATTTTTTGATGCTTATATTGTACCCTTGATTATTCCACCTGAGATAACTGCTAGACAATCACAATACTGGAGTATTCAGAGTATTGATGAATCAATTGGACAGTTTACGCTTGTGTTTGTCATCAAAAGCATTTGAACCTGGAAATTGCAATTACATCAGCCTTACCGAACAAACTGGCACAATATAATACAAACAAGTTTATTAATCCCACTAGGGGCAATTAGCTTCAAGCAGCTTGTTATACACAAAACACATTAACATACAAACAAGCAAATGAAGCTTAATGTGATAAACCTCTCAGGAATAAAATAAGCCAGTTTTTAAAAGGTCAAACTATTCCTTTAAATGTAATGAAATTATCATCTACCACCCAACTGTCTACATTTCCTCCTTGTTTCCTTCTCAGAGTGAAGGATGGGGTCATCAGTTCCTCTGCTGGCCTCGCTCCTTGCGCTCACCACCAGTGCGTTGAGTCTCAACCCAGATGACCCCAATGTCTGCAGCCACTGGGAGAGGTAAGCACATTCCCTTGTATTTAATCGTCTGAAAACGCTGATTCGTATGAGTGACGTTGTCACTTCTGAAACTTTTTCAGTATATCTTCTCTTAACCAAAGTTCTGATCTATTGTCAAAGTCCATACAGCAGTATTGATCTCACAGCGGCTCAAGTTGCCAAGCTCGGAGAGATGGGAGGTGCTGCTGCTTCAAATGAAATACACAGGCAGATTGATCAGTGTACTCTCATCCCAATCAATCGCGAATGCCACAGAGCCTGAATAATTATTAGCTTTGCTGGGCAGTGTCACTTATGAGAAATAAGCAGGAATAATTTCTGTCTGTGGCGCAAAGGGGAGGAAAGAAAGCTGTGAAGATATATTATCTGGATTATTGCCTGACCAAGGTGAGGGTACTTTGTGGTTCCACCTTGTTGGCATCGAAATGGATTCCCTAAGTGGGCAGTATGGTTATGGCTTTTAGGTCCTCCAATATCCGCAGACCATATATCATAAATATCAACTATTTTTTAGCGTTTTCATACCCTTTATTTTAAAATCAAAGCTTCACTATGCAGGAAAACGACACTGTGTTGAAAATGGGATCAGTGACTTTCTGATTCTTAATAATTAGCATTTTATTGCTATAGCTGGTAAAACCTGATCCAGTTTAATAGGGTTAGGGTAGGGTTAGGTCTAAGCGATTTAAAAAATGATTTTTTTGTGATGATTCTCAAAAAAGAAAAATAAACAAAGTTTGGCTGCTCAAATATTTAAAATGTTTGACTTCCCTCTAATATTTTTTAAATAATGCCACCTTTCACCATTTTTTTCTAAAATTGTTATTTAAGTCAAACCATGTAAAAAATTCAAAGGGTAAATTTCTCCTAGGTAGAGCTTATTACAACACTCAGACATTTAATAGATGACAAGAAGCCGAGACTAATGGCTGCTTTTCTTTGTGCCTGTGGCAGGGACTGAAAGCCAAAATTATTGGAGACTATAGGACCGGCATTTCAAGATTTTAACAGGCGCTTGTTTACATTTAAGATCTTAAACAGAAACCATGCTGAAAATTCTAGGAGTCAAATAAATGTAAAAAGTAAAGAGCACAGCATCCAAATCTAAAATTTAGAGGAGAATACATTTTAAATCTCTACCACAATTTAAAGGGGTAGAAATAATAAGCCAGAGTACAAGAAAGTATGGTACAGTCCTTTTTTCTGCAACTGGTGTCCTTAAACATTTGTCTTTCAGCTATGCGGTGACTGTCCAGGAATCCTATGCTCACCCATTCGACCAGATCTATTACACTAGATGCACAGACATCCTCAACTGGTTTAAATGCACAAGGCACAGGTGAGTTTGTAGGTCTCAGAATTTGTTTCCTTATTATATTTTACTTGTTTTTTTGTTTTTGTTATAAGTAGCACGACCTTTACTGTACCCCCAGAGGATGCCAGTGACTGTAATTGTGTTGTTTTGAAGACGTTATGTTTTAATTGCTTCATCAAGGTTGATAGCTCCATCAACTAAATGAGTAAACAGAGACCTCCTACAAGCGGATTTTTATTTGGGGGTAAAATTCCACTTAAGAATGATTTTTCTGTGCGTACTTTGATAAAATGACAAATAACAACAAAACATTAAGTTACTGTTTCGAGTTTGTTTGTTTCCTGTCCTTCAGAAAGGATCACTCTTTACCTCACGTAGCTGTCCCTGTGTGTCTGCTTTTTCAGGATCAGCTATAAGACAGCTTACCGGCGGGGAGTGAGGACCATGTATAGGCGCCGCTCCCAGTGTTGCCCTGGTTACTTTGAAAGCGGAGACTTGTGTGTTCGTGAGTGCACCTTTTTTTAATTCCTAAGTCTTTGCTCACGACATTTCAGGTTGTATCTGCAGGAGATTTTAAGAAAATAAAATATTAGGATTGATTTTTAGTCTGAGTGGCTTGCAAGTAAAGACGCAACTTCCATACAGGCCGCTGCTGCCCAAGTCTCCTGTCTGATCCCTCAATAGCAGTCCACTCTTGCCTTCTTTGCTAGCGTGCCACCATGTATAATATGCGTATTAAGTCAATTTAAAATGACTGAGCATGATTTAATAAGGTCACTCACTGTTTTACAACATGGTCTGCTCCCTGCTTTGCTCTTTCTGTTAGAGTAGCTTAATTGAAGTTGTATAACAATGAGAAAAATTAACGAGCCGAGAGCATACTGGTTACAGACCAAGGATGTATAGCACCCACCATAAAACCACAACAGACTTCAATAACTTAAAAGAGCAAGGGCCTTGAAAATTAGGTTGTAACAGTGCACTTAAAACAGTCATTCACTGTCAATTCAATAGCTTCAATGTATAATTTCACTCGCACGCATTCAACTGAACACTTTTGCAAGCTGTTCACAGTATTTGTTACGCTGACCTCACTGAATATTTCATTTGCCTTAAAAAAGAATTTAATTAAAATTGGTCTTCAATAATAGTTTTCATCATCTTTTGCAACATAAGCTAGCTTCTGATATAGTAACCCCACCGTGTGCTCTTTGACCACAGCTGAGCTTGTCCTTGTCTAAGCTTTCCTAGCCTCGGGGTAACAGCTCCCCAGGAAGTCAGCCAACAAAGAGTGAGACCCCGTGTGATTATATGGGAGTCTGGAGAAGTGAGGAGCAGACTGATCAATAATGTATTCATTAACCATTTAACTGACAACAGAGACATTTGTTCATTAATAGTCTTTGCAGGGTGTTAACAAGGTGAATCTGCTAACTGCGATGCCTCCTCTTGAATTTGGCTCGTCTTTATCAATAAGCGTGCTTTATTTTTTTGTATAATACAGTATCAGGCCATTGCGGCCTGTGTCAGGTGAATAGAGGAGATTGAGTTGATAGGGGCCAAGAGGGCAGTTTTTGCTTTTTGCTTGCTTTGCAGACTGCTCTCTTTTAATCCTAGCACTCTCACTACTAGGATTAAGAGATTTGTACTCCCCAAGCTGTTTTGCATGCAGTGACAAAAGGGGGCATTATAGAGGAAATCGAACCAAAATTAACTCAAGTCATCTATTTCGAGACATTTTATTGTTTACTGAATGTAAAATATCCCTCCCTTGTGTATTGTTAGTTTAGTGTAGCTTTTCCCCATGAAGTCTGTTTCATTAAGAGTCAGAAAAGCTTCAAGAGGGTTTGCCTTTTAATCCTGCCTCCTTTCTTTTTTTTGTCATATGGCACCACATCAGCACTCACATTAGCTCCAGTGAGAGGCAGTTAATGAATTTGGGGATGTGGAGCAAGCATTACAGAAACACACAAAATGCTAATGCTTCCGACACTCTTGAAAGATGCCTTTTCTTTGTTTGTTGTTGTGTTTCGTTTTGTCTGTAAGAAGTGATTTTTATTTTTTTAACATTTTGTCAAGACGCTCTGTGATACGCTGAACTTTGATCTGCTTTTTTCTAATTAGTGCTTGAAGTTTCCAATGAGAGGTGTTTATTATTTCTGTGACCTTTGATCTGTCGTAAGTCATTAGCTTAATATGTAACTAGTCTATGTAGAGGATGTGAGGAACTCATTTCCCACCTAATAAGCATGATTATTACAGTTGTGCAAAGGAAGCAAGATGAGCTCACTAATGACAACAGCTCGTAATATCTTCTGAGGCTGACAGGCTCTGCGGGGCTCTGAGTCTCTCTTTTCGCAAAACATTTAGGCCAGATGACTCCTGCGTGACTCTTGCCTGTCCATTTTAAAAAAGACCTTCGCTGCAGAATTAGTCGGGTTTTGATAAGTTTCACATTTGAGCTTTCACCATCAGTAAGATGATGAGATTTGGCTCCAGAAAGGGATCGTGTGCCTTTGATTTCTTTTTCATTTTTGGCTTTGTTGCATTTTTTTAATGTTTCAAAGACAGTTTTAAAATAAATCGTCTCTGTGCTAGACAGAGGCCCGGAAAAGAAGTTATGCAGGAAGTTGTTTGATAGGTTCTGCTGGCATCTGTCTTAGAATGATTCAACCATCAGCTGCATCACCTCGTTTCAAGCGTTTTCCACTACAAAGCACTACGACTACAAGAATCATAAACACTGGCAAAAAAAATGGCACTGGTAGACCCTTTTTTTCCTTTTGGTTACTGCAGGAAAGCTTTCCACAACAGGAAGGGACAGTAAAGATTTATAATATCCAACATTTTAAAAGATTGCGGTTTTCCTGGGTAAAAATATTAAATTTATTAACACTGCATGACAATCACCAATTAGCTCCATTGTTCCCCGTCCTGATAACACCTCTGCATAATGAGTTAGATTAGCCTTTTATCTAGATGAAAGACTCAATTTTCCAACAGATTCCTTAGACATGAGTTAGGCAGAGTGATTCATGAATTTCAATTAAAATGAAAGACCTACCTCCTACTTTATTATGCCATCCCTTCAGTACACCGGTTCAGATCTCAGGAGAAGGGTGCGCTTTATCCTTTCTCCCATATTCAAAACTTCATTTCCATATTTCTTTTTTTTTCTAAAGGATGTGACACATTTGCATTTCCCTGTTCTCGCTGATCAGAATTTGCTGATTGAAACTAAACGAAATCAACTCATCGTGGTGACATTGAATTCGTCTCCTCTTCTCTTTGAATACTCTGCATACTGTGGGCTCATTGATTACAGGTAGTCGATCTCACTACCTTCGTCAGCACAAATGTTGAAGCTCTTCCCCCTTTTCTTTTTGCTGGCTTACTGTAATTAGACAGTTCTCTGCCAGAGTGATGTTCAGAAAATCTGCCCTGAATTATCTTTCAATCTCTGGTTTACCATTTTTGCCGTGGGAGCATTTCTGCGATTAGCGCCAGCTTGTTGCTGTCTGGCGTTCACTCCTATTTCTCCTTTCCTGCTGCATCTTTTGAGTTGGTGGTGGAGCTTAATCGAAGCCTGACTGAGTGATAATCTATAGCGGCACTGTTCAGGCCTGCAGCCAGCTCCTCCTGACCTCTGTGCCTGCAGGATGGGTGCCATAGTGTTGAACACAGGACTTATATTGTTAAGAAAAAAAACTGCTAGATGCTATCCCCTGTCCCTTTTTCACTTTTGACCACATCACAAAAAAATAAGGAACAAAGGAAGCAGAACTTGGAGTGTTGGATGAGCTCTGATCAGTTAAGGGCATGGACTGTCTGCTCTGCCGCCCTTGGATTGCGTATTATCACTCCACAGGCCATGTTAGAGGACTGCTGATTCCCATCAGGCGGAGTTTCTCTCTCGTCGTGTTTCCTTCCTCAGATAAGAGCCTGTCTGTCTTAACCCTGTTGGCCAGATGACCTTGGCTGTCATATAGTTATTAATGCTAAGTACCTATTTTTGTCATCCTTTTCCTTCTTACTTTGAAACACTGTGGAAAAAATAAATCCACATGGGTCACTTTATTTTCCAGCTCAAAGAAAAAAAAAAATCCAACTCTTGTGAACACACTTGCAAGAATACTAATGCCAGCCCAATCAATTGGACGCTGTGTTGTTCAATATGAATGATCAAGAAAACTGCATACTTAGTAAACACTGCAGTGCCTGGACCTGCTACATTAAAGCATCACTATATGACAAAGCACTGGCTGATCAAATTAGGGAGGATTTACAGCTTGTTCCGTCATGCCTCGACCTGCCGATAGCGAGTCATTGTGGAAAGTAAAGCTACATGATAAACCAAGTGTTGACCAAGGACTTTGGCTGCTAACAAATTGTTTAGCCTATTGTCAAGTAGCTGAGATGGATGTTAAATATGAGCGCCAGAGCTAAGATTCAGTCCTTTGATGGTATTCAGGAGATATTGAGTGTTCAGTTTTATGGGCCATTTTCTTTCAGCTGTTATCTTGGTGCTTTTCATTATGCTGTTTATTAGTGCTTTAATGACGGTTTACACTCTGTGTGTGTGTGTGTGTGTGTGTGTGTGTGTGTGTGTGTGTGTGTGTGTGTGTGTGTGTTCCAATGCAATTATAAACTGTGCTGATGAGGAAATGTCTTTGTCTATTTTAGCTCTGTGCACAGAGGAGTGTGTCCACGGTCGTTGCGTGTCTCCCGATACATGCCAGTGCGAGCCCGGATGGGGAGGACTGGACTGCTCCAGTGGTGAGGGCACTTTTCTTTTAATTTTCCAGTTAACCATTTAGACCCATTTATTTCTAAATGGCTTCACAGCCAGTTAGTCCATAAGACTTTGCTCTCAGTGTGTTTTGCCACAATGCCCATCTACCTCAAAGCTGCTCAGCTTTGTATCCTCTCTTCTTAGCAAGCACAGCCAATGGAACAGGTAAGTTACAATGAATTCATTTTCATTTGCTGGAAGTGGAAGTGATTTGCCTGATGAATATAGCGGATGGATGGATGGTTGCATTCCCCCCCCTCCCCCCGTGTCTACCAAACTCTCTGTTATGGTCTTAATCATGATTAGACTGATGCCCGTGGCTTGTTCAGTGCGATGATGAATCAGTGCCAAGCTGAAACAAGCCATTGTATTGGTCTTCTATTTACTGGGGTTTCCTCAGCACCCAGAGCTGGATGGGAGGGTGGAGTTAGACATATTCATCCTGCAATCAACTAAATGCTGGAGTGTCACTGAGGCCAGGCAGGAGGGAAGAGTCTATTTTCTCCTTTGTGAAATGTATGCCAGCAGAGAAATGTAGATACAGAAGGCCTTTTATACTTAGGGCAAATATAGCAATAGCCATGGCAACATATCACCATTTCCTGCATCAACATTTCTGACCTCTAATTCTTAACTTCAACTCTCCACTCCCAGTTGCATTTAACCGTTGCATATTTAGGAATGAGTTATGGCAGATAAAATGAAATCAGTAGTGCTATTGTATAGATCTATGAGTTTTCATTAGCAGGAGAGCCATTCGCTGATTAGCAACTGTGTGTAAATCAGCTGCCTGCGCAGCAGCAGTGGCCTATCGGAGGTGGATTCATGGGCATAAATGACAAGCCTGAGCTGTTTGCTGCTGCTGCTGCTCACTCCTACAGACTGGTGAGGGTCCAACAGGGAGGATGTGTGAGGTTCAGGGCCCTCGGGGACTCTTGTCCCACTCTTAGTTGGTTAGGAGTGCAGCCGTGTGTGCGTTTGAGCCTGCAGGCGCTTGGCTAATCCACCTTGTTAAAACAGACTTGATGATTGAGACAGAGGCATTATTCATAACTTTAGATTTCCATACCAGGCATGATTCCAGGTTTTTTCATTTACGAGCTTTCATCTGTCGAAATAAGGAATGTGTGCCAATTTTTAAATTAAATCTGCCCTCTTTTTCCTTCGTGTAAATGGTGCAGCATGGTTTTTTTTTTGTCTTTCACTGTAAATTCTGCATTCGCTCAGCACAGACAGATGAGGCGGTTAGGTAAAAGTCTTTATGCAAATGGATGCAGGCTTCATATTATGGCACAAGTGGGCTGAAATACACACATTAACACCAAATCAGCTCCAACACAATCAATGTCATGCTTTATTTGCTGTTTATTTTACCACTATTATGTTTGACTTGAGGTGTTTGTGTTCACATAAAAGCCAATTCCATAGCTGGTGAGAAGGCAAAATGAGCTCATCATATGACAAAGGATTTGTGAATGTGATTAAAATAAAAAAAAGAAAAAGTGTGCCGTCCAGGCTTGGAGATGAAGAGCTGCCGTGGGATGCTGTGCGGTCTAAAGCTGAAGTGACAGCCTTTCAGCCAATGATCTGGAGCTGGATCAAAGGCTTGGACTTTGTTTCTGGAGCAGCACCCACCAGGAAACAGTTTTGTATATGGGTCAGGTGGTGGAAATAAAGAGTTGCACTGTTTGTTGCCAGAAAAGGGAAGGCGATAAGGTGGGAGAAAGTCAGTAAATTGTGCTGGGAGTGGTGGTGAAGGCTGAAGAGAGATCTAGCCTGGTTTCTTTTGGTTTTTTTTGGTTTGTTTTTTTGTTTTCGCCTGCTGTTGTCCACCTGCTGTAGCCAGAAAACATTTCATCCTTTTTCTCGGCCTGAAGCTATATTCCCACTGAGACCAGACCTGCCCTGTGACCTGCCTCGAGTCCCGGGGTGTCTCAGACTCATCTCAAGGACACACTGGTAGATGTGGACCACACATAAAACAGAAAAAGCAAATGAGTGATGCTTGCTTTCTGTCATGTGTGGATTTTGAGTATTTTGAGGGGAGGCTTTGTTTTCCCAGAGTGATGAATGATTAATTGCCGCTGTTGGTTAGTGTGATTGCTCTAATGCCTGCACATTGTGTTTGTGGAACGTGGTCTTGAAAATGTTCTCCTAATCACTTGTCATGAATCAGTTGTTTATTTCTTAATTTAACAGTTTAGGGCATTGAAAGAGTGCCCTGTACCTGTTAATGTTTGCTTTTGTCTGTTTTTCCCCCCCCAATGTTGTGCTTGTTTTGTCTGTTCTTTTGCTTTCTCTTCTTTTCATATTGAAATGCATCTATTTGTCCTCTCTGTGCCACTGTGTATACTTTGTTTTGTCAGTAGGGTTTGTCTTGGAGAAATAACAATGTTCACAATAGGAATTCCACCATGTAAATAAAAGAAATGGACAAAAAATATTAGGTTCAATAAAGCAGGGACAGCAGCAGATTTATTTATTTATTTATTTATTTTTGCAATGGCAATTCAGATAGATGGAGCTCTGCTCATGGGACCGAACAGTATGTCTTTAGTCATTTTAGTTTTCTGATGTATGCTACTGCTGTTATTGGTTGTAGTTTGCAGCAAATATACTAGATGTTAGCGTAAAAAAAGAAGCACACAGTATGAGATAAAACGGGAAATCAAATCTTTGTAGAGTATTATCAGTTTATTGAATAAAATCTATATAAAGTTTTTTAGAGACTCTTATGAGTTTCTTGGGTTTAGCAGTAGACTCTTCGTGAAGTTGCAGAGAAATGACCTGGTCCTTTTTTTTTCTCCCCTCCTTTATTTCCGTGTATTTTTCAGCTCTTGTGATTTAATCCCTCTTGATGAGTCTGTCACACCGGGTCACTGTTTGCTACAGTAATAACAGCTTTCAAATAAAAAGAATGATCAAGATAGATGTCGTAAGGTATATTTACCCGTGACTGCCATCGCTTGTAAAATATTAGGTGCAATGAAGCACTATCATTGATTTCATGTGATTCAGTCAGATAATGATATGTTCCTGGTGCTCGGTGAGAAGAAATGTGCATATGAAGCTTTTAATGTTTCTTTCCTCAGCCTTCTTGGAGATTTCTTTCCCCTATCGTGGTGGAAAATGTACGCCCACTTGTGCAGAGATTCTAAGAATCAATGCCACCGATATAAGTATCTAGAAAGTCCAAGAAGTAGTTCAGGTTTGTTAACCGCAAAGCTTCCCTTGCATTCTAAAAAGAAATCTATCACACTTAACAGCCAAATCTAATGTGTTTGGTCAGCCGTGGCCCATGAGGTAACATATTCCTCCCTCATGTATTCAGATGGCAAAGCAGCTATTGCTGTGTGTGCTATACACGTGGTTAATTGATAAATGTGGCTGATGAATGGCTTTTTTATGCTATGCTGCACCAGATCAGATGTTACAAATGCTAATTGACCACTAAAACTGTCCATTTTTATGGATTTAAATCAATGATTTGTTTTTATTGGATTTAGGAATTTGGGATTGCAATCACAGTAATGTGGCTCAAACAGAATTAAATGATTTGTGCTTTTAGCTTTGTTAGCTTGTTTTGCCCCAACAACTGTAGATGTAAAATGAAAGAGTAGCCCGACCAAGACCAACAGACCAGAAGCTGTTAAACTTCATTTTGACTTGAAAAACACTCTCACGAGGACTCCCTCTGGCACACGTCGACAGTATTTACACATTATTCTCAGAAGAGCATCTAAGCCAGATGGTTTCTCTCCAATCCCACAGCAGCAGGACATTGATATGCATTGCTGTCAAAGACCAAGGGACTGAATTACATTGAACATCGTCATAGCACACAGAGATTCACTCTCACTTGACACATCACTCCAAATGTCACCTTACTTTGCTCCCGAAACTTCTCCCTTCGTTAATCTTAGAGACAGAGTGTTGAACGTTTGTTTGTGAGCATGTGTGTTTCAACAAGTCACTTTTCTTTGAGATGACGGCTGCACGTCAACAACAGCAAGCAAAAAAAGTGAATCGTGTTTTTAAAAAGACGTCCACATCGATTGAATTCCTCATTATACAAGAATGTAAAGAGGCATTTTTGGAGAACTATAAATATTCTAACTCTATCATTCTGAAGTGGGTTCCTTGCTGCTTATTTCAGTCGATGCCAACTGCCTCATTCATTTTGATAGATCAAAGCGCCCAGGCAACAGTTTTTCTCAAGGGGACAGAAGACGGACCGATCTATAGAGCCTCGTGCCGCTGTGCAAGTGTGTGCTTGCATCAGTGCAGTTGAGGCCTACTGTGCTCGCAGAGGTTTGTTTTTGTGAATGACTCCGGGTTCCCTGTGGATGGTGGAGCCATTTTGTGTACTGCCAAGTATGCAAAAGCTGTGCTTAAGGTCCCGACATGGTAGCGTGCTGGTAGTCTCTATGCATATATGTTCCACACACAGCTTTGTAGGTCTGCATATACATGTTGTAGCTTCACACTGCCACTTGGGGGCATTGTGAAAATATGTGGAACATGTAATGTGGGCGACTTCCTATTTAATTTGTGCAGTTAACAATAAAGGTCCACATGATCTTAACTTTGATATATATATCTTGTCATTCTGTTTACTATTTGGGTGCAGTTAGGAAAAATTTGTAGTGCCTTGCATTCAAAAGCAAAACTCTAACAACTTAATATATAACTATAGTCTTGGACAGTTGAAATAGTGAGCACAAATTGTTAAACTTTTTATTTCACTAATAGTCCATTACTTGCTATTTAGAACTTAAGAAGGACTTTGCATGCTAACTTTAGTAATTCGAGTTGGTTGTGTGCAATTTTAAAACCCAGTGGTGACTGTTAAACAGAAAAGATTAAACCATGTGGATGCCGCTGCTCGGGCTCTGAAAGAGATGTTTCAGGACGTGCTTCAGACAGCACGCCTCTCAGATCTTTCCCTGCATGCCTCACACTGACTCGTGTGACTTATGTGTAGTGTAAATCACTGTGCAGAGACTTCAACTGACTGATATTGAGTCCATCAAATGAAATGTGGCGCACACACCACAGCTGACAGCATTCTTGGCTACAACCTGACAAGCACACACACACACACACACACACACACACACACACACACACACACACACACGTGCACACATCCAAAATGAATTAAA